AGTGACACCAAATCACATGCTGATCACCATAACAGATCACCATAACAAATATAATAATAAGGAAAAGTTTTAAATATTGTGAGAATTACCAAAATGGCACCAAGAGACTTGTTCAATGCAGGGTTGCCACAAACCTACAATTTGTAAAAAAAATGCAGTATCTGCAAAGTGCAATAAAGCAAAGCACAATAAAATAAGGTGTGCCTGTATTTCTATTTTACACATACTGTGAACTGGCACAAGGGTCCACCAATTCCCCTTCCTTGGCTTTGAGTGGCCATGACCCCTGGGAGACCTGAGGGTAACCTTAAGAACCCAATTTGGCTTACAGTCTTAAGAGGATGTTATTGGTCATCATGTTTGCTATGCTGTGACATGGACATTAGGAAGGGCTCTCTTGACTAATAGAAAATCTGAAACAAATAGGCTTGAATGGTAAGAAAGTATATTGTCTTACATAGGATATTCAGAGATAGGGCAGGTATTAAACCAGAGTTAGCCCCATTATAACTCATATCCCATGGCAGCTGGTGAGTTTATTAGGAAAGCCAATCAGAGAAACCTTTCCCTCCTTAGTCTGGCCTTGGCAACCTCATCCTACCCCTACTGTGAACTCTCAGTACCTCATGACATTGGACACTTGCCCAGAACCCCAAAACATTTCCAATAGATCTAGGCTTTCCTTCACATCTGGCACTATGAGTTGTGATCAAGCATTCACTCTTATTGAACATCAGTATTTTAGGCAAATATCAAAATTACATATATCTTACAGGTCAACCAGGGTAAAGTTAAAGGGAAAAACCACACTTCAGTGAAAGGGAATGCAGGTTGTCACCTTGTTTAATATATAAAGAACTGTAGGATAACTGAAGGCCTTATAAAGACCAATACTGGAGAACAAAGGAGAGGCATCTCTGATTCCACGCTTGGACTGCTGGGGCAGTGGTCCAAATAGAACCAACCACCACAGACCAAGGTTATGTTACATGCATTTTCTGAGGTATTAGATAGGCTTTACTTGACAAATCATCTCCCTTTCTTCAATCTGTTTCTCTCTACTGACCTTTTAGGGAGGAAAGCACACGGGTGAAGGGTAGGGCAGCATTAGATTAAAATAACCTGGATTTGGAATACCTGACATTCTCCCTTTCCAACCTGGGCCCAGCAGAATGGCTATCTCATAAAGAAGAGCAGTGAGAAGGGTCACTCTGCCACCAGTGAGCTAGTGACCAGACCAGAGAACACACCATCAACATTCACAAGTGCATCATCCATGGAATAGGCTTTAAGAGGTATGCTCCTCAGGCACTCATAGAGATCTGAAAATTTGCCATGAAGGAGATGGGAACTCCAGATGTGCTCATTGACACCAGGCTCAACAAAGCTGTCTGGGCCAAAGAAAATAGGGAATGCCCCATAAAGGAATATACTGTGTTTACGGGCAGTCATTTAGAAAATGGAATGAGGATGAAGATTTGCCAAATAAACTCTATATACATTAGATACTTAGGTACATATCACCACTTTCAAAAACCTAGTCAGTCAGTGTGGATAAGAAATGACCAGATGATCAAACAGTTATGAAACCACCACACACACACACCAAAAAAAAAAAAAGACCTAGATTTGAATCTGCTAATTCCCAGGTATGTGATCTTTAGAAAGATACTCTCAATTTCTCTAGGCCTCAGTTACCTCAAATGTAAATGGGAGATAATAATGCCCACCCTGTACAGGTGTTATAAAGATGAAAAACATTAACATATGGAATGCTTAGTACATTCCATAATATGCACAATGCATAACAGCTAATTAGTACATACAATCATCATCCTTCCTACTAAACCTGCTCACCTTAAACATTTAAAAAGTTATATTCCGTTTCCCTATGTCTTCAATGATACTTCATCTTCTCCTTTATATCAAATTCCTTGCTTTCCTTTTCCTCAACTCCAGTGCACTCAAACTCACTGAAATATGGCTCTCCCCCACCCCACTCAACTGACACTGCTCTCCCTAATGTCACCAACCACCTCTTTGTTGCTATCCAACACTTCTTTAGTTTTTATCTTACTTGTCCTCTTTACAATGTTTGGTCAAGCAGATCTTTCCAGGTCTAGAAGCTCTCCTGCATTTCTGTGGTAGTATTCATTATCAGGTAGGATGTTTTGGGCAGCAAATAAAAAAAAAAAAAAAAAACCCTCAATCCAAACCATTTTAAATAATAAGAATGTTATCTCACATAACAGTAAGTGCAAACAGAGGGCTGGCTTCCAGAGCAGTTAACTGCATGGCTGAACATCACCAGAAATCTAGGTTCTTTTTGCTCTACCATCCACAGCATTAGCTTCATCCTAAGATTCAGTCCCCTCATCATCATAAAATGGCTACCAGCAGTAAGAAGGGCAGCATCCTTCCTGGTTCTTAACCAGAAGGATGGAGGCATCTCTCCTTCCAATCATGAAATAAAGTCCTTGGTCTGGTTGGGCCATTGTAGGTCACATGGCCCCCTTTGGAACAGTAATAGTCACCAAAGAAATGCCATGTCCTGATTGGCTGAGAGTACCTTTCCTGAGTCCCACGGCTATGTGTGTGCGGAGTGAATATCCTAACAGAATCAGAGCTCTCTTAGCAAAGATGCAGGGAGGGATAGATGCTGAGTGGGCAACCAATAGTACATACTATATTCACTTTCTTCATTTTCCTGCTGGCTGTTCTTCTGTCTCTTTGTGCACTTCTCTTTCTTAGATTACCACTTAAATTTTTTATCATTTAAGATACTTTTATTTTCAGTCCTCTTCTGTAAAGACACCTGGGTGGCTCAGTTGGTTGGGCGGCTGCCTTCGGCTCAGGTCATGGTCCCGGAGTCCTGGGATCAAGTCCCACGTCAGGCTCCCGGCTCAGCAGGGAACCTGCTTCTCCCTCGGACCCTATCTCCTCTCATGCCGTTTCCCTCTCTCTCTCTCAAATAAATAAATAAAATCTTTGAAAAAAAAAAGACTATACTTTCTCTGTGAGCCATCACTTCCTTATCTTTGATTACTATCTCTAATCAAAGAGATACTTCTGTTATGTGTTATCTAATTGAGTCTAAACTGATGAGTCCTAATTAAGGCATCTATTTCCAACCAAAGTGTTTCTTCCAAGCTCCATACCATGAATTCGAAAATATGAATACTTACCCAATACTTCCTATGATAGGAAGAATGATGTCCCCCCACTCTCAATGATGTGTATGTCCTAATCCCCAGAACCTATAAGTACGTGAGGTTACATGGCAAAGGGCAATTAAGATTACAGATTGAATTAAAGTTGCTAATCAGCTGACTCTAAAATAGGGAAGATTATAGATTATCCTGGATTATTCAGACATAAGTGTCTTTGAAAATGGAAGATGGGGCACCTGGGTGGCTCAGTCATTAAGCGTCTGCCTTGGGCTCAGGTCATGATCCCAGGGTCCTGGGATTGAGCCCTGCATTGGGCTCCCTGCTCAGCGGGAAGTCTGCTTCTCCTTCTCCCACTCCATTGCTTGTGTTCCCTCTCTCACTCTCTGTCAAATAAATAAAATCTTTTAAAAAATAAAAAACAAAATAAAAATGGAAGATGGGGTGCCTGGGTCGCTCAGTTTGGCCTAGCAACTGACTCTTGATTTCAGCTCAGGTTATGATCTCAGGGTCATGATTTCAGGGTCATGAGATCGAGCCCCATGTCGAGCCCCTAGTCTGGCTTTCCACTTAGCAGTGAGTCTGCTTCTCTCCCTCTGCCCCTCCCCTATAAATCTTTTTTTTTTTTAAGATTTTATTTATTTATTTGAGAGAGAAACAGAGCACAAGCAGGAGGGCAGAGGGAGAGGGACAAGCAGCTTCCCCACTGAGGCCACCCAGGGGCCCCCAAATAAATCTTTAAAAGCGTAAGGAGGAGATAGGGTGTTGAGAGTTTAGCTAAACTATTCCATATTATTGCTGCCTTGGCATCCATTTTGTGTGCCTAAGCACACTAGCCTCTCTCTCAAGCTCATGAGATAACCACCCATAGATAATAGCCTACAGGATCACAAGTGTAAACTGATATAACTTCCCCAATGCCCCTGGTGATAAACAATCTCTTCTGCCTCCCAACTGCTTCCCCTGTGCACCCCTTAGATAAGACCCCCACTGAGCTTACCAAAACCCTGATCTTTTTGGTTTGAATTGGCCAATCCAGCCTTAGCCTGGGAACCCCAAAAGCACCCACTCATGGCCCTAATAAAGGCATGCCCCAGGTCCTGCTGTCCACTTTCTGTCTGCATCTTGACCTCCCTATGTGGCCCCTCTGATGCATGCCATGTACCTCCCCCAGGACCTGTAATAAACTTCCCTATTTTACTTTCCCTTGTGGTCTTTGTGGAAGCATCACTTGCCATCTGACACACCAGGGCTCTTCCTAACAAATGTTAATTTAACAAAAATCACAACACAGGGGAGAGAGGATTAGAGAGATGGCAACATGAGAAGGGCTCAGCCAGATGTTGCTGGTTTTGAAGATGCAGGAAGGGGCCATGAGCCAAGGACTGTGCATAAGCTCTAGAAGTTGGAAAAAGCAAGGAAAGAGATTTTCTCCTAGAGCCTCCAAAAGAGTGCAGCCTTGCTGACACCCTGATTTTGGCTGAGTGACACTCATTTTGGTCTTCTGACCTCCAGAACTGTAAGATAATAAATTTGTGTTGTTTTAAGCTGAACCTCGTGGGTTTGTTGGATTAAATAAACTAATATGTGCCGAACAGTACCTGGTACATGGTTGGTGCTATGTAAGTATTTTCCATTATTAATTTCCTCTCTGAGTAACTCACATAGAGGTAAGACCTGAACATTAAGTAGGAGCTCAAACCAATATGGAAAAACTGTAAGAACTGTGTGACAAATAAAAACAATCAGATTAAAATGCAGCATTGTTCTTTATATTTCCATGGTATACAGTAATGAAAATACATGAAGAATGAACCATAGCAGCAACTTGCATCACCCGTCTTCACATTCATCAGAGCTTTCTTCACTTAGCTCCTCACTGCTTTCTCCTTCACTCTCACCGCTACTATCTTCTTCACTATCTTCATCATCTTCCTCAAGATTTTGGGATTTCTCTGCCACGGAAAGGAAGAGAATTGCTTAAAATGTTCTTGATATTTCTACTCTTTGAAAAATCGTAACTCTCCTTGCTTCCCCCGCCACTAAGAAATACCCATCTTTGGAACCTGAGGACTGAGCCAAACTTTGCTGACTATATGTAGGATTCAAAGTAGTAGTACAAAGAAGACTATATTCTTACTGGTATAAAGATGTTTACAGATTTAGAGTAAATTTAAAACATAGGTCTATAAAAATACATATACATTTTTTACTATTGTTACCATAATTCTTAAATAGGAGTGAGATGCAGGGTAATTTAGAGGGTACTGGTTTTCCTTGGAATTGTGGGATAGCTCCTCTAACATGTGTGGCAATGAGCATGTTCTGTGCCCTGTGAAGACTCCGTCAGTGCCCGATGCCTGGTGTCCAGGAAACCTGCTTCACTTGGGCAGTTCCACAACCCCACGGAGAAAAGGGATTCACCTTGACCACCCACAAAGGCCAAGCTGGTTTCATTAAACCATCCAAAGACAACCAGTTAGCCTTTTCTTAACCACTTCCTGAGGGTGGACTTCACCAATCTCCTGGGATAATGGGTTTTTAAATAGTGACTGCTCATAGTTCTGTGAGAAAGAAGGAATTTCAATTTTTAAATTTACCCATCAGCAACATTTCTTCAATAAGTGAGAAAAACTCCTTGGCCTCAGGATTTTCTGGTTCATAGATTAGGACTGAAAATAGACAACAGAAGTTTTGTTACTAATCTTCAAAGTGTTTTCAGCAAACAGGTTCCTCAGAATGAGACTGGAACTGCCAATCAGAGTAAGTGAAAATGCACAAGCCAATAAATACCAACAATTATTCCACAGGAATACCTAAGTGCAAATAGAGAAAATGATCTACTTATCGTAGGTGCACTGTAAGAGAAATAATTCTCATTATATTTTCTACCTCCTGTCTAAAGAATGCAATCTCCATCACTATGAGGCTTTCCCCACAGGCCTTGTAGCCAAAGTGTTTTTTGACTATAACCAAACAAGGGACATATCCTGCAAAATGTGGAGGCTTCGCTAATGAGAACACTGTGCGCCTTGAGGAGTATTCATAATTCTGCTTTATCCTTTTAATGTTGTGACTCCCATGTAATATCTTGATGACCCCTAGGGGGCACTGAAACATCAAGTGTGCCGTTCACCTGACTAAGAGTAAGACAAATTGTGGATGGTTTAACTAGACTCCGGGGCTTACAGGACATCATCCCATATGGCTTGCATCCTGACACACCAAACCAGTGTCTCTCTTTCCTAATCTACGTACATAACAATTTACTATCTATCTGGGTTAGCATGACTGTGTACCTGCTCAGAAGCTGCTTTTAAGGATCCTATAGGTATTTAGACACCTTTTAAGGTTTCTAATAAAAGTATCTTTTAATTCATTTTAAGTTGGACTCAAATATACTTATCATTAGCAGTCTAAATCTTTCTCCGAGCCTCTTCTTAGAGCAGTTTCTCTAACTCGCCCCTTGAGATACTAGGTTCTTAAGATGTTAATACATATTTGGGAAACTAGGTCAAATGAGGTTAATCAGGGAAAGTTTACAATAGGAACAACTGTAGGATTTTACAGAACCACTAATATGCTCATAACTATTATGAATCTTATAGATTGGAGAATGTGGTTTCCCCAACTTATTATTCCCATGGAATCCTTTTTGACGTAACACTTAATAAGCAATCTTAAATACAGTTTAGAAAATTTCATGTTGGAATTAGGATTATTCCATGGGACTGGAGTGTAGAATCAGCTGCTCTTCTGGTTTAACAAAAACCATTGGCAAATGTCAATTTTCAAAGTGAGGGAAAGGTATCTGCTTTGAAACTTAGCCCAGAAATATGTATTCTAGGTGATGAATATAAAATTCTCCTTACTCTTTCACAGGCTAGTAGGGTTTGTAAAAGGATAAGAAAAGTCTCTAGCACACTCAGTTAGGGTCTGGGAGTTGTTCCCAACCTGAGCCCATAAGCAGATCCCAGTATGGGCCCTGAAGAAAGACTCAGATGTGAATCCTGGTTCTGCCACTGTCTAGTTGGGTCTCCTTGGGGAAAATATTTAATATCTCTGTATCTCGGTTTCCTTATCTGTAATAACACTATTGGCCACATTAGGCTGTTTTGATGAATCAATGAGATCATGTAGATAAAGCACTTAATCCAGTCCTTGGTGCACGGTGAGTTTTCCGGAAATGGTTTTGGACCTAGAGAAAGACTTGGCTCCTTCCCAAACATTCAGTGGATGTTTCCTTCTGGCTAAAGAGCTGGGGCAGGAGCCAGGGGATTCTGCTGCCCGTAGGGCTCTAAGTCCCTCAGACTGGAGGCTAGTCTAGGGTAGACAGAACATTGGTCTTTTTCACTGTTGCATGCCTAGGAGAGTGCCTGACACAGAGTTGGAGCCCTCAAAACATTAAAAAATGGAATAAGTGAATAGTAGAAAGCAGTCCTTTTATGCCTAGATAAAATTATACTGTAGGTTAATAGGAAAAAGTGATTTATTTTACCCAAAAAAAGAAAGATGGGATGCCTGGGTGGCTCAGTTGGTTAAGCGTCTGCCAGAGTCCTGGGATCGGAGTCCCACATAGGGCTCCCTGCTCAGGGAGGAGCCTCCTTCTCCCTCTGCCTGCCACTCCCTCTGTTTGTGGGCTTTCTGACAAAAAAAACAAATAAAATCTTAAAAAAAAAAAAAAAGGAAGGAAGGAAACTTCATTGTAACTATCCTTTCTGAAAATACATCTATCTGTATTTTGTTAGACCAAAGTGATGAGAAACATTTTGGTTTTGAGACCATTATTTTTAAACACTTACAATTATAATTGATGAAGTAGGTCTTCCAGGCCTAAATGGTTGGTGTAAAATGTTGGGCTGCCTGTGAGCAGCACTGCTGTGCTCTGAGGAGAGTGAGCAGCAGGTTCCCTTCTTACAGGTAAAGAGACCAATAAACAGAAAGATTGGCACAAAATGTCATCGTCAATTATGAGCTGAACTAAGAAAAGTAGTTGGAACTCTTGACTGTCAGCCTAATATAAAAACCACCCTTCCAGGATGCCTCCAATGCCTGGCAAGAAATGGCATACAGCTGAGATATCAGTTCTGTACAACATAGCAGGAAAACAGCAGATGAAATCCTGGGCACATATAAAAATTGTGTGTGGAAGACAGATAAAATTCAAGCCTTCACTGACAAATAAAATTTCTTGGGGGAACCCAAAACAAATTTTTTTAAGTCAGGACAAAGAGAAAAGAAACCGTAGGCATGTGGACTGCCAGGCGGGAACCCCTGAAGCCCAATGGAGATATAAATGACTTTACTGTGACTGGACAGCAAGGAAACATTAGCAACCAGCGGCTTTATTCAGAAAATGAGTTTATAAAACATTTTAAAAGGGACAAGGATGCATTATTTTATATAAATTAATTGCCTTTGATACAAAGAAAATATACTAGTTGACCACAGGAACCATTTTAAGCCTGACTGACCCATAAAATTACCCCCTTTCCAAGTCCCTGCCTTCTTGACCAGAAATATGTTTATTTTTTATTTTTTAAAATGATTTTATTTATTTATTTGACAGAGAGAAACACAGCGAGAGAGGGAACACAAGCAGGGGGAATGGGAGAGGGAGAAGCAGGCTTCCTGCGGAGCAGGGAGCCCGATGTGGGGCTCGATCCCAGGACCGTGGGATCATGACCTGAGCCGAAGGCAGACGCTTAACGACTGAGCCACCCAGGTGCCCACAGAAATATGTTTATTAATCAAATGAGGAAATGGAAATATAGCCGGACATCAGAGGCTTTCAAGCCAGACCTAGGATCTAATCCTAACTCTACCTCTTAGTAGTTCTGTGAATTTGGTGAATTAGTATTCCTTGCTAAGACTCAGTTTCCTCATCTGTAAAGTGGGGTTCATAATATCTGCCTCATAGAATTGTTTTAAGAATTAAACAAGGTATTCAAGAATCCTCCCATTATTAGTAGGTGGTCAATACATACATATATAAATATATAAACGTGTAAATAATCTGTTTACATACATAAATATACAAATATATATAGAGAGAAAAGGGGAAGTGTTCTGTAGAAGAGCTAGAAGATAGAAAAAAAAGACAAAACAATATACTGTAAACACTTACATATAAAATATTTTGGGGTCCATCCTAGATGAAAAAAATTCACTTTGTCTGTTGTTCTGAATACAGAGAGGAACTTTGGGCAGTCCTCAGCCAAGTGTTTCCTATTAGCATCAAACCAGTACTTTCTCCTCCCTGAGACAGCGCCTCCAACTCTCTGTTCTTTCTTGAACTTGAACTTGTTTGACATTGCTAGTCCTGGGTCTCCCTAATTTCATACAGTTGGCTGGAATCTGCCTCAGGGGTAGCCAATCCTATTTTGCATGCACCCAGACCCCACTCCCATCCCTGGGCCTCTCTGCCCAAGTTTCCAGTCATTCCCCTTCCTCCTGGGAGCAGCGTTCTTTCCCAACTGGCTCCCTGGATCATGGGGCCTGTCTTAGGGCTCTCCACACCTCCTTTCCTATAGTCTAATCCTGAGTTTGAGGCACTGCTATTTGACACTTACAGAAAAGAGTGACTAGTATTTCTGGATGAGCCAGTAGGGGTAAAAACTAAACCAAACCATAGTTAATGTCAAACCCAAAATGGTTTAGAGCATGTGTGCTAGGATTCCTGCTTTCTCTCCAGCTCCCAGCATAATGTCTGGTACAGAGCTGGAGCTTGGTATGTAGTTGTTGGAAGGAAGGAAGGGAGGAAAGAAGGGAGGGAGGGAGGGAGGGAGGGAGGGAGGGAGGGAGGGAAGGAGGGAAGGAGGGAGGGAGGGAGATGTTTTACAGGGACATAACCCCATTAGGATAGATCAGCTTGAACTTTTTCATCCCCACTGACCTGGCACTTAATGTGTGTTCACTGGTTTGCGTCAAATCAGTAAGCATTTTACTGAGCACCTACTGTTTATGTAGCATACTGCAGGGCTAAAAGCCAAAACTGACTGACAGATGTGGTGATGTCAGGGCATATATTTTGTAAGCTTCAGCCAGAGCCTTTCTAAAATGACTGATGGATATGGAAATATAATATATACATGTTCCCATCACTAGGCTCCACAAGAGACTCTGAGAACTGAGAGGGAAAGCTGCGGACTCACTCCCTTCCACAGCAGTCCTCAAAAAGGAAAGGTGCTGTGGGAGGTGGCAGCTTGAGTTCGGGTTCTGGCTGTGCCGCTAGCGCCTCGAAGAGTGCTGAGCAAGCGGCTATCCTCTCTGCTTCTGCTTCCTTATTTACAAAAATAGACAACTGGACATGGTTCTCTGGAAGGATTCCTTCTGATCAGTAATTGTATATTTGTTTACCACCCCCAAATAGTTTTAATCCAAATATTTATTTGATGGCTCTAAAGGTCAAAGTGCTTGAAAGGATTACACAAGGCAAATTATTTTGGATAAAAAATAAGTAGGATAAAAGCATTCAAGAAACCCCTTTTAAAAATCAGCCAATGATTTAAGAAGTACGGCATCCATAGTGGAGAGTCTGTGTGAGGCAAGTAAGAGTAGCCCCTCACGAGCCCTATACCACATTTTCATCGAAGGACTTTCACTGTAAGACTTAGGTCTAACATTAGCTAATATTTTGAGTCCTATTATCAATAAAGTTTAATTATAGAGTTGCCATTTTCTCTTTCAAAATAATTATGACTAACGTATTTTATATATATATATGATGTATATATATATATTAGATTTTTATTTATTTATTTGACAGAGAGAGAGAGGGGGAGAGAGGGAACACAAGCAGGGGGAGTGGGAGAGGGAGAAGCAGGCTCTCTGCGGAGCAAGAAGCCCGACCCGGGGCTCGATCCCAGGACCCTGGGCTCATGACCTGAGCCAAAGGCAGACGCTTAACCAACTGTCACTAGATAGTTTAAACAGCAGATTGAACACAGCAGAAGATAGGACAGGTTAACTCAAAAACAGGTAGGTCAATAGAAAAATTCCAAAATGAAGGATAGAAATAAAAAGAAATGGAAAAACAAGAGCTGAGTATAAGATACATCAGCCAAATCACTAAAAATTTCAAAGAAAAAGAAAAATAAGGTAGATGAGATCATTCCTCTACTCAAAAGCATCCAATGATTTCCCACCTTGCTCAGACAAAAAGCCAAAGTCCTTAAATTGTGAAAAGGTACTATGCAATCTACAGAACCTCCAAACCATAATCTCTCTGACCTCATCCCCTGTCACACTTCCCCTTGCATATTCTACTCTGGTTACATTGTCCTCCTTGCTGTTCCTCCTCAGGCACACTCACATCTGGGTACATTTGCTATGAACCCTGCCTTCCTGGACCATCCTATTAAAAACCTCTTTCTAGTACTTTCTCTTCCTTCTTCCCTACTTTATTTTTCTCCATAGCACCTATCATTTATGACAGGCTAATTATATATGAATTTGTTATCTGCTGGATACTAGATACAAATGTGGGATTATCTGTCTTATTGACTGCTGTATTTCCAGTGCCTAAAACAGTGCCTGGCACATGTAGGCACTCAAATATTGTGAAATGCATGTTAAGAAGGTTTGCTGCACTCCCTGGCACTTCTTTGAAACTAAAGGCATAAAGTTACTAACCCATTATCTGTAAGGTAAAGATTTTGACTTATTTTCCAGTGACGATTAGTTTTTGTTAGTTTATCCCACTCAGTTATTCTAGAAGTCTAAATTAGTCTTTATACCAATCAACTTAACTTATTAATAAGGAATCACTGAGACACTATCAGGGAATTCACTCAGCTCTAATAATCAGACCATCTTACATATTATGGAATGCATGCAGAAACAAAGAAAAATTAGAAAACAGAAAAGTATTTTGCACTTACTCATCTGACATAATTTTTTTGCCAAATGGTAGTCTTGGCCCATTTCTGCTCTCAGGAACTGGAAAACATTAAGAAATTCTTCAGATAAGTACTTTCCCCAGAGAGAATTTAAATGTCAATTATAAACTCCCTAAAAAATATTCCATTAATGATGAACTATTTGGCTTTTAACATTTACATGTTTTTCCAGGAGTGAGTCTATAATCAATCAATCTATTATTTAAGGACTTCCCATGGCAAGGCAACAGAGAACAAGTATGATACCTCCATGTTGCTGCAGCCATACTACATATCTACCACTTAACAACTTGAGAATAAATAGGTTGATTCAACTGGCAGAGATAATAAAGACATTAATCACTTTAATATCCCTTTGATTCAGACACTTTTATTCATAAACTTCATCCATGATTACATGACAATGTTAAGTTTAAAAAAATGTAGATTTACAATGATGTATATTTAATATTTTCCAGCTCTTATACCATCCAGTTTTTGTTTTGCTATTTTATTCTATTTTTATTGTTACAAAGTAGTACCTATTTTTGTATGTCAGAAATTTAAAAGCTAAATAAACACATTCTGTCCCCAATTAAAAAGCATTTACATTTCTACCATCCAGAGATGTTTATTTTTAGCATCTTCATGTGTATTGTTTTAGTGTTTTTCCATCAATGAACATATATTTACAAAAACTAAGATTACTCAGTAACTTTTTAAAAATAAACCACATATCATGATCTTTTTCCCCCATAAAATTAAATATGCTTATATTTTTTACTTAGGCTACAGTTTACTAATCTCCTATTCTAACTTATTTAGACTGCTTCCATTAAAAAATAACCCTACACTTGGATGGTTGCTATTGCTTGTGTGAGACATATTCTGAACCCAGGCAGGCACACTAGGCTTATTGGGCAAGAGACAGGGGCATGGCGTATTAGAAAAGACACTTCCCACATGTTTCCAGACATGTGATACATACCCAGATACCATTTTACGAAGTTCTCTACCAGTTTTCTCGGTTTCTTCCATGAGTATTAGATTATTTACATTTTTCTAAAGTAAAAAGAATTCTTCTGAAGATTTTTCTATAAGCCATTACTTTCACAATCCCCACTTACTGCCATATTATTAATAAATGCTATATTAAACTCATTAAATAGAATTCTCTTATATTTTTAAAATCTTTTTGTCTAAGGTTAAGATCTGTCCATTTTTACTACTATTTGTGGTTTCCTTCCATTTTAATTACGACATCTTGTGGTTTATCTATGTCATTCTTTTTTCAAATATCCTGCTCTCAAACAGATATACTAATTTGGTTTTTACTTTGAATTTTATTGAATTCTTTTTCTTATTTACATTATGTTTATTTTGTTCTTTTTCTAGGCTCTGGCATTAATATTTAGTTCATTTGTTGTCATTCCTCCTTTAATCATCATCATCATCATCAAAGCATTTGAAACTTTGAGCTTTTTTATAAAGTTTCAAAATTTGGTGTTGTAGTTATCACTATTTCCTAAATAGTTTGTGTGTTTAGTTTTGATTTTGATTTTTAATTCAAGCGTCATCTAGAAGAATATCTTTTAGTTTTAAGTAGTTTTGTTATTGTAGTCATTTTTGTTTTCAATGTGTAGTTTAATTGATCAGAGTCAGAGAATATGACCAGTATAATATACAGCTACTGTTTATGTTTTTAAATCTTTATGGAAAATTTAAATATACACAGATGTAGAAAAAATAGTAAAAGAAGTACATAGCCCCAATTCTCACCTTCAAAAATTAATATTTTGCCAATCTGATTTTATCAATATCACCACACACTTTTCTCCACTGCCTAGATTATTTATTATTATTATTATTTTGCCTAGATTATTTTAAAGACTTTTACAGATATCATCTCATTTCACTTTAAATTAAAAACCCAATTACACTATGACTAGTACACCTAACAAAATTAACAAGAATTTCTCAATATCAACTAAGATCTAGTCTATTTAACAAAGCATCATATTAATAATACTAGCCTCAGAAAATGACAAGGAACATGGAATCAATAAGTGTCCTTTGCATTGACCTATTTTTGGGTGTGTGTGTTAACAAAAATATACATATTTCCTTTTAACAGTTCAAACTGCAGTGAAATTAAATTCATGCAATGGATATTTGGCTAAAGACTTTCATGAGAATTGCTTAAAACTTCAAAGTCAAGCTAAAGTTAAATGAGAAGAGAGGCTTAAACAAATTGGTTTTAAATTATTTGTGAATTCAAAATAAAGAGTTGGCACTTTCAGAGAAGATGGCAGAGTAGGAGGTCCTTACACTCACTTCATCCCATGAATACAACTAGGTAACACTCATCCCTGCAAACAACAGAGATAATGACCCTAAGACTGGCCAAACAAACTCCACAACTGGACGTAGAGAAGAGCCACATCGAAGAAGATAGAAAAGGCAAGGACTCGGTGGGAACTCAAACTCCATGGATCTGAACACGGGAGGGAGGGAGCCACGGGCATGAAGAGGGGTGAGAAACAAGACTATCACATGGGGGAGCCTGCAAGGGGAAGAGGAATCCCCATAGCATTTGGCTTTGAAAATCAGAGGGGCTGAAATTGGTGAGTGCTTACAACCATCGGTACTTAAAGCCTGGAACCTTAAAAATCAGCAGGCTTGGCTCTGGGAGAGCCCAGAGGGCAATAGGAAGCTGAGCACCTACCATTAAAGAGACAGTACAGCAAAGAGCCTGCAGAGATAGGCTTGGAAACAGCAGTTTGAAAGGCGTCTGGGGCTTATGGGAGGGAGATTTAGTTACCGAGCTCAGAGTTTGCAGAAGAACTTCTCCAGGAACAGAGGAGCTGGCAGGCTCCATTTCCCTCCCCTGCCCCTCATCAGAAATACACAACCACCTGTGGAAACCCCGAATAGCCAAAGCAATCTTGAAAAAGAAAAGCAAAGCTAGAGGTATAATTCCAGACTTCAAATTATATTACAAAGCTATGGTAATCAAAACGGTATGGTACTGGCACAAAAAACAGACACATAGACTAACAGAACAGAATAGAAAACCAGGAACTAAACCCACAATTATATGGTCAATTAATCTTCAACAAAGCAGGAAAGACTATCCCATGGGAAAAAGACAGTCTCTTCAACAAATGGCATTGGGAAAACTGGTCAGATACATGTAAAAGAATGAAACTGGACCACCATACACAAAAATAAACTTAAAATGGATTAAAGACCTAAATATGAGGCCTGAAACCATAAAAATCCTAGAAGAGAACACAGGCAATAATGTCTCTGACATCAGCCATAGCAACATTTTTCTAGATATGTCTCCTGAGCAAAGGGAAACAAAAGCAAAAAATAAACTACTGGGACTACAACAAAATACAAAGTTTCTGCACAGCAAAGGAAGCAATCAACAAAACTGAAAGGTAACCTACTGAATGGAAGAAGATATTTGCAAATGACAAATCTGATAAAGGGTTAGTATCCAAAATGTAATAAAGAACTTATACAACTCAACACCCAAAAACCAAATAATCCAATTAAAAATGGGCAGGACATGAACAGACATTTCTCCCAAGAAGACATTCAGATGACCAAGAGACACATGAAAAAATGCTCAATATCACTCATCATCCCGATGATGCAAATTGCAAATCATAACTACAAATATCCCTTCACACGTGTTGGAATGATAAAAAACACAAGAAACAGCAAGTGTATGGAGAAAAAGGAACCCTCTTGCACTGTTGGTGGGAATGCAAACTGGTGCTGCCACTGGAAAACAGTATGGAGGTTCCTCAAAAAGTTAAAAATAGAACCACCTTACGATCCAGTAATTGCACTACTGGGTATTTGCCCCCCCCCAATACAAAAACACTAATTCAAAGGGATACATGCACCCTTATGTTTATTGCAGCATTATTTACAATAGCCAAATTATGGAAGCAGCCCAAGTGTTCACTGATAGATAAATGGATAAAGAAGATGTGGTATATATATATACGATGGAATATTCTGGACTAAAGAGTACACTTATCATGATAAAAAAAAAGAAGAATTTAAAGATTGTAACAATGAATACATGTATACATTTTACCTAGATTCAATGCTTCTTAACATTGTGCTACATTTGCTTTATCTCTCTCTTTTGATAGATAAGATGTAGATATAGCCTACATATATATTTTCCACAGAAACATTTGAAAGTAAGTTGCAGACATTGTTAAACTTCACCCTGAAATATTCAAGCATGGGTCTCCTAAGTTTATCCTTCAATGTAACATCATATCCTTAACATATCTAAGAAAATTAACAATAATTCTGTAATAAAATATTACATTTAAATTGAGACTTCCCAATTTGTCTTTAAAATGTTTTTACAGCTGGATTTTTTTCTAGTCAGGATTCCATGAAAATTCATGTTTTGATTTTAGTTGTTAACCACCTTTATTTTTTTTTTAATTCCATCACAGATAATATACAGCGTTATATTCGTTTCAGGTGAATATAGCACTTCAACAATTCCATACATCACCTACTGCTCATCACAAGTGCACTCCTTAATCCCCAACCCCTCTTTCACCCATACTCCCACCCATCACCCCTCTGGTAATCATCAGTTTATTCTCTACAGTTAAGAGTTTGTTTCTTGGTTTGTGTCTAATCTTTCAAGTTTTCTATAGGTTTGAAAATTTTAAAATAAAAAGTTGAGGGCACCTGGGTGGCTGAGTCAGTTCAGTAAGGATCCATCTCTTGATTTCAGCTCAGGTCATGAACTCATGCATCATGAAATCAAGCCCTACACCAGGCTCCAAGATCAGCAGGGAGTCTGCTTGAGATTCTCTCTCTCTGCACACCCCCTCAAATAAATAAATCTTTTTTTCTTTTTAAGATCTTATTTATTTATTTGACAGAGAGACACAGCAAGAGAGGGAACACGAGCAGGGGGAGTGGGAGAGGGAGAAGCAGGCTTCCTGCTGAGCAGGGAGCCCGATGTGGGGCTCGATCCCAGGACCCCAGGATCATGACCTGAGCCGAAGCCAGACGCTTAACGACTGAGCCACCCAGGGGCCCCTCAAATAAATAAATCTTAAAAAAATTAAAAAAAATTATAAATTGAGAAATGAAAAAGGGATGCATTCTGAAAACCAAAGAGCTTAAGCACAGGTATAGTAAGATCTGAACATCAGCAATCTCATACTGTCTGAATATTTACCTGAAAATGAAGTCATGGATTACTTTTATAATTAAATGTCAAAAAACAAATAGAGAAGAAATAAAACGAACAACTCCAAAGAGTTTGGTTATGGCAAATAGGGTCTTTGAATGCTCTATGATTCATGAATGATTTAGATGTTCAATCAAAGGAAATGTGGCTAAGTAAAATCTTTCCAATACTTGGCATCAATTTTTTTCTCCCTTGGTAAAAGCAACTTATAATACTAAGATAGTTTCAAAACTATATATGCTTTATTCTAGGAGGAAAATACAGTAAATGTGTCTGATTTCTTTATATGGCTGGCATTTGGGTTAAATTATATAAAAGGCAAGCACATTAGTATTTTCTTTATGTTAAAACTCTAATCGAGGCTTCTACCCATGATGAAGTTAACAGAGACCAGATTTACTCTCCTTCCTAAAACAACCAGAAAATTGTACAAAATATATGAAACAAGTTTTCAGTAATTGACAGCAGGTGTCATAGGAGAATGATCTGAGAGAAGGGAAACAGGTGGGTCCTATGACTGCCTCAGTTTACAGCTGTGGGCTGTCTCCAGGTACCAGCACAGAGAGGGAGCATCCAGAGACCAGTGATCTGAGTTGAAATAAGACAGTCTGAAGTTCAGAGAGGCCAATGTTATATTTTCCAGAGAGCTCCAGCAATCTGCAGAGGTGTGTTTTTGAGTCTTTGGCTGGAATTCATCTGCATGAGTATGCAGAAACTAACTAAGGCTAGGAAAGAACTGTTGGAATGATTAGGGAGAACAATCACTGGATCTCACACAGGGTCTGAACAGAGCTCATGCTTTCTCCAGCCAGAGTGGAAGGTCCTCTTAATACACAGAGCACTGGGAAGAGTCCTCATTAGGGAACTGCCTTAGACTACATATAGGTAGTCTCCCTACAATGTAAAGGCTGCTCTGGACCCTCCCAACAAAGCTTAAAAATCAAGACTCCAAAAGAGAAACCTGCTTCCAAGAAACTCAACTATATCCCAGATGAAAATCCAAAAATATTTAAAGGAAAACAACAAAACTTGTATCAAAGAACATAAAATTTATAATGTCTAGGATTCAGTAAAAAATTACCAGGCATGCAAAGATGCAGAAAAATATGACCCATACACTGGTGCTGACCCAGAATTACAAAAATGATAGCACAGCAGACAAGCATGTTAAAATAGCTATTATAAATATGTCATATGCTCAAAAGTAAAATATGAACATGAGGAGAGAATAGATATAAAAATATTTAAATAAAACCTGTACAGATGATAAAATATATGAAATTTTATATATGTACACAAATATGGAGAGAGAAAAAGAGAGAGAGGAAGGCAGGGAGGATGGGATTAACAGCAGATTATAACTACAAAGAAAAGATCAGAACTTGAAGACAGAACAGTAGAAATTTCTAAAATGAAATAAATAGAGAAAACAAACAAAAAAGGAACATCAGTGACCTTTGGATCAACATTGGGTGGTCTAACATACATGTAACTTGTAGCCCAGAAGAAGAGAGGGAGAGCAGAGGTCAAAAAAAATTATTTGAAGACTTAATAACATTTTCCAAATCTGGTGTAAACTACAAACTCATAGATCCAAGAATCTCAATGAACAGAAGCAACATGAAGAATACCACATCAAGGTATATCAAAATCAATTTGCCAAAAATAAAAATACAAAAGAAAAAAACTTTAAAGTCTTAGAAAAAAGACATATACAGGTGGTCAAAAGTAGTAACAGCAGACACCTTGTCTGGAACTATGGAAACTATTTGACAATGAAGCAACCTTTCAAAGTACAGATCTTCCTCAACTTACGATGGGGTTATATCTCAATAAATGCATCATAAGTTGAAATATTCATTTAATACACCTAACCTACAAAAATCATAGCTTAGCCTAGCCTACCTTAAACATGCTCAGAACACTTACATTAGGGCAAAATCATCTATTTTATAATAAAGTATTGAATATCTCATGTAATTTATTGAATCCTGTAAAAGTGAAAAACATAATGGTTGTAAGTGTATCACTTGTTTATCCTCATGATGGCATGGTTGGCAGGGAGTTACAGCTGCCCAGCATCATGAGAGAGCAATCATACCACACATTGCTAGCCAAGGAAGAAATAAAAATTCAAAATTCAGTTTCTACTGAATGTGTATCATTTTCACATAAGTGTAAAGTCAAAAAATTCTAAGTTGAACCATATAAGTCAGGGACCGTCTGTACTGAAAAATACCTGGCAACCTACAAATCTCTAGCTCACGCATCCTTTAAAAATGAAGATAAAATTAGGACTTTTTCAGATAGACAAAAGCTGAGAGTATTCACCGCTGGCAGAACTGCATTATGAAAAAATGCTATAGCAAGTTTTTCAGGTAAAAGGAAAATAATATCAGGTGAAAATTCGGATCTACACAAAGCTACAGAGAACACCAGAAATGTATTTCAAAAAAAGATATTTCCCAATTAAAAAAAACTTAAAAGATTGACCATTAAAAATAAAAATAATAACAGTGTATTATAGGGCTTACAGTATATATGGAAGTAAAATGTATGACAATAATACAAAGGATAAGAAGGCGGAAGTTAAAATGTACTGTTATGAAGTTCTTACAATATATGTGAAGTTGTATAATGTTAACTGTGACACCACAAGTGGGGTAAAACTGTTTTGCTCTCCATAGAATTATCAGTAAGTGTTTATGTATAATTTTTGCATGTGATCTTTCAGGCTTCAGTGCCTTTGTATATATTGTTTCCTATGCAAGGAATGCCTTCTCCACTTGTTTATCAGATGAATTCCTGAGCTTCCCTCTTCCTTCAAGATTCTAAGACTCCATGTCTCTTCCTCTAAAAATTCTTCCTTTTTCCCATTTCTCCTACTTCTATTCTCAATTAGTCACTTAATCCTCCTTATTCCCAGAGAACCTCATAAATACTTCTGCTGGCACACATTTCATCTTATTATAAATTGTACTATATACATAATATGTAATTGTTAGTTCTCAGGGTAAGGACCTATCTTTCTTATTTACCTCTAAATATCCCCCAAAACTAGCATGGTGCCCAGTTATGTAGAAAGCATTCCTTAAAGCAGTCCTTGCAGAGTTTTATGCCAAAACTTCTTTGATTCCTGCTTTTGCCTTTACCAGAATACTGTAAGTCACTTCCAGAATCTTCTCTCACCTCTAACCTCATGAAGGTAGTGAGAGAGATGAGTAGCTAGGTGAGCATCTGTATATGGGCAAGGATCTCTTTACTATTTTTTAAATCTTCAAGGCTTTACACTATTTAGTAATTTTAATATTTTTAAGTTTCTTAAATTACAACACGCAAGTTAAACTTACTTCTGCCATTAATTCTAATGGGGCATGAGTATCCTTATTAGGGTTACTGTCTTCATCATTATCTTCATCATTGGTATCATCTTCACCATCATCGTCTGTTGATTCAGACAACTTATCATCAATATCCTGAAGGCAATGTTTGTTATTTTTCTCCTGCTCTGCAAGGACTGCATCTTTGCTCACTTGACCTAAAATATACATAATTTAATCAATAAATATTGAAAAGTTCAAACATTAAAAATGGTTACTCCTAAATTAAAATGTAACAAATGTACATGTTTACTCTATGGTTTCCTAGAGTCTATTTTTTTCATGACTAAATAGCACCACAATGAACTTATGTGATTTCCATTTCCAAAAAAAGTAATAAAACTACCATGAGGAAAAAAATCCAAACCAATAACATTGAATTAATGTTAGTGTTAATTGTTTGGTGCTTGAAATTTTAATATATGGAAAACAATTTGTTTATTAAAAAATATAGTGATTTCAAGAAAAAAGAAATTAATGCTATTCTACCTCAGGAAATACATTTCCTAAACTGTTCTTATAGGAAAGTAAGTATGAAGTAAAGCCTGGAGACTAAAATAAGACTGGAGAAGCTGAACAGTAAATAATTCTTAGGCAGGTCAGGTCACTGCTTGGATACTTGAGAATAAAGTTCTTTCTTTTTCTACACACACACACAACTTAGGAAGAGACATGTCAAGTATTCTAGATATAACCAGAGGCTACAGAACATTATTAATGATTTTTCTTAATGTCAAGACACAGGAGTTATGACCAAACACAGATGACTGAAAAATAAAAATAAGCACTAATGACTACCCCATTCAGTGCCCAGCACTATGAGGAGTCATAGGAACACAAAAATGAACAGTTCTTGACCTCAGGTACTCATTCACACTCTAAGTGGGGAGTCAGAAACATACTGGATAGCTATAAAACAGTATGGAAGTATGGTGACAGACATGTGCTAGGTAAATGAGCGCACAAAGGAGGGCCCCCTGCCACTCTGGAGAGTAGTCAGGAATTGTCCAGTCTGAGTGGATCAGTTTTTCCAAAGAGAGAGGACAACATGAGCCAATGCAGAAACAAGAATGCGTGTGGTGCGACAAAGCACTTTGACGCTGCTTGAGGGTCAAGGTTGAGACTGCAATGGTGACAGATGTGTCTGGAAGGGTAGGTAGATCATGGGGTCTTATGGACCAGAAGCCTTGGAGTTAGGACCATATCCTAAGAATAAAGGGGCTACTAATAAAGGATTTTGAGTAGGAAAACAAGTATGATCAATTCTGCATTTCTGAAGTAACAGTTGGCTAGCAGGGTGGACAGTATAGTTGAGGGGAGACTGAAAAAAAAAAAAAGAGCAAGGAGAGAGGCTAGAGGTCTCTTTAAAAAGTCCAGGTGAGAGAGATGATTAATGATAGGGCACTGGTAAAATAGGGATGGAGAGGAAGGACAGATTAGAGAAATATTTAAGAAGTAAAATCTCCATGATACAATCTATTGGAACATTTTCCAATAGTTTAATTCTTACACTATCTTCATTCATTTTGTCATATATGAGTATCACCTATACTATTTACTCAATATTTTTCCTTAATCTACTTTAACATATAGATTTTATCAGATCATATTACCATCCATGAAACTGATATATGTATGAATAAAAGTAACATACAATAATCTTAACAAACTATATACCATTACTCTTCCGAACATTACATATGTTAACTCTAATTCTCTCAACATCTCAATGAGGTGTATACTATTGTCACCCTGTTCACAGATGAAACTGAGGGACAGAGAGTTAAATAACCTACCCGACTTCACACTAGTAAATTCAAGTGGCAGATCTGGCAGTCAGTGTGGCTCAAGTCCATATTTGTAACCATGTCTTACTTTTTTCCGACACATACGGAAATACAGTACCATTAAACTAATTTTTTTTTTTAAGTTTACTGTGTGTTTCCAAAAATTATCTCTTTGGGAAAGACTACTGAGTGAGCTTGTCAACTGTTCTGGCTCTACCGATGTCTTACACAGTTTCAAACTGAGCTTGTGTGACACCTCGCTTTTATGGAAGATTTTGAGGGTCGGGAAGTCTTGTGACATGGGAGTTTGGCCATTAGCTACTCCAAATCATGTAGAAACACTTGTTAGAAAGAAAATGAGGAAATCCAGGAGAGCTCAAGAGAGGACAATGTTAAGAAAACCCAGGCCAAAAAAAAAAAAAAGGAAAAGCTGATAAAAACTCCCCACTCTAAAGCAAACTCCTGACTTAACAAAAAAAATGCTACCCTGGAAAGGGATACCGGTCCTTCCTAGAATGGCTGGGCTCTTCAGGCCATCTACCTGCTTCTGTTTCATTTACATTCTCCATTCAGCTCACAGCCACCCTGATCTTCCAGTGGGTACCCAGCCTGCTCAGACTCATCACACTGATGTCATCAGGGGAAGGTCATAATAAGGAATTAAGGACTTCATGTGATGTCACAGGAATGGTCTCCTTCAATTCACGAACACTGAGCATCAAGGGAAATTTTCTGATCCCTAGAGTTAAGATAGTCCTCCCCTAGGTGCCATTTATTTCTATAATAGCAGCCCCCACAACATGTCACGGCCTTATTTTTTATTATTTATTTTTAATAGTTGACTATCTCCTACAAGAATGTGAACTTCATAAAAGTAAGGACCTTGTCTATTTGCCAACTATTGTATCCACAGCTTCTAAAACAGTCCTGGCACTCAATAAACCATTGTTGAATGAATGGAACCTAATGCTTTCATAGATATTTTAATTCATTTTAAAATTTAATACCTCATCATTATCATTTTATATAACGTATACCATGGATGCCATACCGGACTGCATATCAGAATCATGTGGTACATGAATTTCAAAAATTACTGGTTCCTTTGACCCGCTCCAGACCTATAGAGTTGTCAATATCCCAAAGGTCATGCAGGAGGGCTCATTTGGAAGCTACATTTACTCCCACAAAACAAATGTTATCACCTGTGTTTTCCTTTAAGAAGGAAGATGACCGTAGCTTAGACTGTAGATTCATTTCTGTATCTTTATTTTCAATATACTTTGAAGATACTCTATTTTCCGTATTCCTTAAAGAAGCTGTATTTTCAATATTTTTTGAAGAGACTTCCTTCCTAAATGTTAAAGTAAATAGTGAAAAAATACTTTCCTAGGTCACAGTTCTGTTTAAAGCTTCATATGCATTCACACACACAATATAAACACAGAATATATCAACAATAAACTGAATAGCTAAAATGTAATATCTTTTTTGTGGAAAAGCATTAAAAATAATTTTTACTGATGATTAAAATTCTACTTCTACTTGGCATTTGTCATTGTGTAATGACCCTTAAAATCTTTTCAGGGTTCTTTAACATAGAGCATACAAGCAATCAATTATATGAATGTCTTTGCCACATCATTGTAATATGTTGGAATAAAACTAGGAATACTAGCCTTGAGGTTTTTTCTAGATTTATAGACCAATTCTCACCATTGCTAAATGCTACACTTACAGAGAGAGTCCAAGACGAATATCAAACCTTGGTCATAACATAAAGTAGCCTGCTTTTTCATTAAGTAGCTGAAATAAAAATGGGTTAATTTTCTCTTTTAGCCTTTAAACCCTGAAACTTCATGTCAATAATAATGCATTAAGACAGAGGATTCATGTGTGGTGCACTCTGTTTACAAAGACAGGTACTCATGCTGGTGGAAAAATAATCCCAAGTCTCTTTTCTGTGGTCTTAAGATTCTTTTAAAAAAACGTCTCCTTTACAAATTAAAAAAATTCAACTTCTACTTTGCATTTCAAGATATAAAAAGATGTGAAGTATTTTCTTTCCCCAGTTACGTTGGCTCTTTTTCCCACTGACATATGAATCTAGAACATGAGTATGGTTAAGTCAGTGATCTTGTATAGTGATTTAGCAAATAGGCGGAACAGCTTGTTATATTCTTAGTATTATGGGAGGGGACGGAATCTCACTTCCTCAGTATATGCTCCTAAAGCAGAACCCCTCTCTGGTAATGAAAACTTCAAAGTTGATTTACATTTGTTCTGCCTCTGCCCTCCTTGATTTTCTAATTATGAAAAAAAAAAAAAAAAGGATCCAAGATGAAACTCTACATCTAAAAAGTTGAGAAGTCAGCTAAGTATTTAATTTCTAGTGAGATTCCCGCTACGTCAAAGCTTGCCACAAGTGATTACTAGAATTTATATGCTCTACCATCTAATCTAAATAAAAGAACTTTGCTGTCTTCCCCCCACAACGAATTAGTGTTTTGTTGAATCTAAGATACCATGTATTTACTATAAGATATACTGTTATTTAAGAAAGAAAAAGCACTGCCGAATTTAAGTGTAAGATGCCATCAATTGTAAGAGAATATGTGTGCTTTAGAATTTATGAGGTATGGTACTTACATATTCACTAATTATATCCCTAAGAGAGGGAATTTATCTGGTATAGTTCTGGGTATTTAAATAATTGGAAATGCCTCTAATAACCTTAATGACACAACATGGAGGAAGCCAATGCCCAATATTAAATGGGATATTACTACTTGGAAGCAGTGAACATACCATCAAAATACATGAGACTTGACAAAATCATCATTTTAACAGTAAAATATGAATTCCTTTTCTGCTCACTTTCTGTAGTCTTTCTCATACATAGTTTCAAAGAATCAAAGTCCCAAAGTCCAACCTCCTCTTCAATCTTTTGACTTCCATTTGAGAAAATGACATTATTTACGGTAATGCCTCTAACCACTTAAGAAAAATAGGTAACCAGTATACTCTAAAAGATTTGTTTTCTTTAATTCAAATAGTTACAGTTGAGGAAAGATTCATATTTTTACTTTATGTAATATCCTTTGGAAATGGAAGATATTTAATTTAGTTTCTACTTAGTCAGAGAGTCAGTCAAGTTAGATATCCTTCTAAAACAAATTTATGTTAGAGCTTAGATAACCTAGATTTTAGGACTGTTCCTAAAAATCTATTAAGAGCTTTAGGCATATTTATGAAGTGGCCCCAAATTTCTATTGGAATTAATAATTTTTTCAGTAAGTTTAGATTTTAAACTTTGTTTTAAAAACCATTTAAATTTGTCAAACATAGGCTTAAAACTGAAATTGATTAAAACTTACTTTTCTGAGAATGTCCTAGCTACATTTAGAGAGACTTGTGTTGGTAAGGTACAAAGTTTGCTTGCCAATCTTGGTCTACGTCCAAAGAGGCATTTACTTAAGGTATAAAAATAGAAATAAAAAAAATAACTTGTCATTCATTTTAGAAGAGATAAAACATATGATTATGGAAAACCTATAGATACAAGTTTTTCAATTGAATGCTGTGGATTTGCTTCAGCCATTCTCCTCAACATCTTTAAGTATGCTTGAAAGCTTGACCCCAAACCCAAGAGATCAAAGGTCCAAGAGCTATAAAACTTCATCTAGCATTAAAGATATATTGTACTTTTATTGCTGAAAATTGTTAATTAAGTGCAATTTGTTGGGTAGACAAAATCTTTCACACATGGGATCCATGGGGAAAAGAGGTAATAATAAATATGGGCTTTGCATGCCCCCAAATTTGAAACTCTTTGTTTCTAAGTCCATACACTTCTTATGCCTCAGACTAAAGAAGCAATCAGAAGATTAAGGCAAATGCACTCCCACTGCTTCACCTGACAAAGGAGGAAGTGGAGTTGGTGTGGGGGGGGGGCGGCAGAGGAGGAGGTGCTGTTAGCAGAGAGGTAGAGAGGAGAATGAAAGCTATACTGAGGAAATTCATCAACTTTCCAGGTCACATTGCTCCTCCAGCAAAGGTCCTCTGATTTTCTATTTTCTTACTTGATCTTTTTTTTTTCTAGGACTGGCCCTGTTTACCTTGAACTCTGGGTAAGGTTCAAGGTGACAAAGTCACACACCTGTGAAGCTTATGGGCTACACTAACAATTCCTCCTCCTCCCTCACTCCAAACAACCATCAAACCAAACCCAAACTCTTTTCTGTAAGTGAACTGAAGGGAACATGATCTTTTTGTCCTTGCAAAAATTAGTTTGATAAGCAGATGCAATTATTAATGAGATCAAGAGAACAAGTAATCACTCTGCTTTTCTATTTTGGCCCAGGCTGCATCTGATTTATCCCTGGGGTTTAACTCAGGATGTGGTTTAACCTTTGCTTCAGTTCCAACACTGCTTATTACAATCTATGAACATCAGTATTCACAGACACAATAATAATTTATTTTCATTAATGACCTATTATTATTATTGAAAGTTATATCATACTTCCTTCAAAGACTACAAAAATTTTCTTACATTTTTAAAACTTAAATGTTTCAAACCATGTAATTGGATATAGATACATATTTACATATAGCTTGATATACTTAATGTGGCATTTATTTTTTTTCTGATTAGCTATAACAATCTGAAATAAACATAGATTCTGTCTTTGATCTGTTATACATTCTTTCTCTTTAATATAAAAGTATGTATTTAATATATAATTTACAACAAAGGCCAAGGTGGACTCTAATTTTAATTTTTAGCTTTGATAGTATGAAAATTAAAATATATGTTGCACGAGGTGAAAAATTTCCCAGCCAAATTTATTCAGAATAAACCAAAATAATATCAGCTTGGCACCATTCTACCAATCTGCCAATAATTGATCACTATGAATGTGTTTTATGATCAACTTTCAAAGTGTAATTTTTCATGGAATTAATAATATAATTTTTTTCTCAGGAGGTAGGAGATGATCATATCAGGAAAGGTTTTGATGAATTATCAGAATCGGTGCCTTGAACAAAGCAGGTACTTAATATTTAGCTACTATACTGAAACTGGACCATGATTCTTTTTAACATTAGTCCCTTCAACTAATTGGGGTGATCAGTTTCCCTTATTTAGTAATGATTCATCTCATAGTAAATCTTTAATTTTAAAGTAAATATTCATTTAAAGGGATATTCTGAAAGACATGGGCAAGTATCAAAAGGAAATAGGAATGAACAATGAAAGTTATATAAGTAAAATACAGACTACTTGGTATTTAAGCATTTAAAAAGTAGAAATGACTATTATCTATACCTCTAAATTTTTATCAAAATTCATTTTTCATTTTAAATGTTCTTTTATCTAAGTAACAATTGTTTGACTGAAGCAAAAGCTCAAGTGCTAATCCATGCATTTCTGGCCTTTCAAATTTAATTGGGTGACAAATGACTGCATTATCTAGTTCTAATTGCTTAAAAGGCATGTGATAGATCAGCTGCACAACCAGAGACATCTTCTTACTCTGACATTGCTTCATTTGGTTCAATCATCACTTTTTCTGAAAGAGAAGAAAAAAAAACCAATTCAGTATTTTTTCTGTAGTGATACT